GGTTTTGTGTCTTCTTTGTATTATTTAGAAAATTAAAATAAAAATATAGAAAAAATTAGAAGCGAAGGATAAAGGAACGAAGGGACTAGAAGTCGCCCTTCTATGAAATATCCCTCGCTTGCTAGCATAGCTTGTGCTACGCGCAGAAATACTACGAAGTACAAATATCCTAACTTATGTAGAAAAATCACTACGAAGTATAGCTTAAGCACCCCTACTAAAATTAGTATTTTTTTAAAGAACTTCCACTTAAATTTAAATCAACTAAAGTATTTTCTATCACACTAATTAAAGGTGTTATAATTAAGAAATGTGCAAAATATAATGCTGTACTTATTTGTCCAAACTCTATAAATGGAGTTTCAACATGTTTAGCTCCTAATTGCATTAAAATTAAGAAATTAGTAACAAAAATATAGAAAGCTATTTTACTTATAGGTCTAAATTGTAAACCTTTAGTTCTACCTAAATCTGTAACAGGTAATATCATGATGATTAAGATAGCAAATAACATTGCAACAACTCCTAATAATTTATTAGGAATAGATCTTAATATAGCATAGAATGGTAATAAATATCATTCAGGTACTATAGCTGCTGGTGTTTGCATAGGGTTAGCTGGAATATAGTTATCACTATCTCCTAAAACATTAGGCATAAAGAACACAAATATACTTAAAACATAGAAGAAAATAAATATTGTTATTAAATCTTTGAATAAGTAATAAGGTGCAAAAGGTATTCTATCGTAATAACTTGGAACACCTAAAGGATTACTTGCACCTGCAGATTCGTGAACTGCAATTAAATGAGCTAACACTAATGCAACTAGTATGAAAGGTAATAAATAATGTAAAGCAAAGAATCTATTTAAAGTAGCATTATTAACTGAGAAACCTCCTCATACAAATTCAACTATATCTTGTCCAATTCAAGGTATAGCACTTATAAGATTAGTTATAACTGTAGCACCTCATAAACTCATTTGACCATAAGGTAAAACATACAAAAACTTACTTTTTAGGACTACTAACGAAGTATGCTGCTTCTATAAAATAAGCCCACAAAAAGCTATAATATCTTTTATTTCGATTATTATATTTATCTAAAATCTAGATAAAAAGCGTCGACTGTACATTAAGCAGCATTTCAGCCACCCACCAGTGACCCAGTCTGTCGCGATTATATGGATAACCGACGATCTCTTATATTTGACTATATTTTGATCGTTTTCACTAGCATTGCCAAAGAAATATTTATATTTCTTCAATGACCCCTACGAAGTACGAGTCATTCTATAATAAAACTATATTTTTTTCCATAAATTACATTAGTTATAAAATTATAGGACTACGATTAACAACAAATAAAAATTATATTATAAACAACAAAACAACAATAATATAATTTAGTAAATTAGTACAATGTACATAGCATTATGCATAAATAACTATTCAACGTTTTTTTGTGCTACGCCAAATTTACTAGAACTTTTTAAAGTTCTATACACTGTTTTAGCTGAACAATTTAAAGCTTCAGCTGTTTCAATGATACTACTATATTCTCCATATACGTGCTTATTTCACAGAAGCCAGCCTCCATTTAATTACTTAACAATTATAGACTTAGAATTTTTTAGGCTGACGAAGTACGCACATAAAGGTGTATACTTCGTAGAGGGGCGACTTCGTAGGCCCAAAGTTCCCTCTATGAAATATCCCTCCATAAAAGTATTGAAATTTTTCTCTATTTAATGTACTATGTCTCATAGCTTCAATAGTTTCAGATGATAATTTATTCTATAATTCGGTTCAATAATACATCTAATATTTAGAATATTTAAATTCATTTTAGTATGATTATATGAATTTGTAAAGAAGCGGAGACTCGTCTCTTCTATGAAATATCCTTCGCTTTTCTTACACTATTATTAATACTTATATTTGTTCTTAAGATATTTGTTGTTGTTGTTATTTTTGTTGTCGGTTTCAATTTATAACCGTTTTGGGCTATGTTTAAGTAACCCAGGAAACCTGTACCAATCATAAGAATAAGTATAATTGTACCTATAACTCAAGCCATAGTTCTTGGAGCTCTATATGATCCATAATATAAACCTCTTCCAATATGTAAATATACTAAAAAAAAGAAAGCTGAAGCTGTATTACTATGTAAATAACGAATTAATCATCCATTTTCTACATCACGCATAATATGCTCTACAGAATTAAATGCTTCTAATACACTAGGATTATAATGCATAGCTAATGTTATTCCTGTAACTAATTGTATACCTAAACATACACCTAATAATGAACCAAAGTTTCATAAATAATTTATATTACTTGGTTGTGAATGATCTATTAAATAAGCATTAAATAATCTTAAAAAAGGATGACTTTTAAGTAAACGCATTTTTTTTTATTTTTATTTTAGGCTATAAAGCCAATACATTACGACGTAATTTTTACAAATGTATCTCGATTTTATAATCGGAAGGCCAATATTGCCGTATGTACCCGGTAGGCGGACATACACTGCAGCTTATGCAAATTACTAAATAAAATTAAAGCTTTTATTTAATAGAGTACTAGTCATAATATAATAACGTATTTGCGTACCTATTTACTACGAAGTATGGCATAGCGCTACTGTTACGTGTATAAAGTTAATTTTTATGCATACGAGTGGTTTGATTTCACACTCTAGTGCTACAGCTAAACAGCGCAATCTATCCTAAGATGATTAAGAGGACTATCTTAATTAATCTTTAGTAGTATTCCATGGGTTACCATAAAATAAGCACTAATCTTCATCTTCATTACTATTATTACAAGCTTCTGTAGTATTATCACTAATATTTTTCATTATTTCTTCTTCATCTAAATGAATTATATCTACATCCATAATATCTATAGATCATACAATTATAAAGTATATAAAAATTAGAACTATTCTAAAATCTCCTCCTATGCTGGCATAGAGAAAAAATATAAGTAATCCGGTGTCAACTAGGCAGTCCTACTCAAATACTAGATTTTAAATTTTATTTATTAGAAAATTCTTCATTGAATGTAAAACTTCAAGAACCATAAATTATTAATGTAATTATACAAGTTATTGTAATACTATATATTATATCAGAAAATACTGAGAAGAATGTAAATATAGATAAATAAAAACATACACCTATTAAAATATAAAGAGCGTAATCTGTTACAACTCCTTTATTTAAACTAGAAATAGTTTTACTTACTTTATTTAAAACCATTGAAATTCCATAAGGTCCTATTCATTCTATACTTCCTCTATCTAAAATTTTTGTAGTTTGACCTCCTAAAAATAACACTTTATTTACAATATATTTATTATAAAAAAATTCAATTAAAAAACGTTGATTGAAAAAACCAAATATATAATACCCTAAATTTGATAACTTGAAGTTTGTTACAGCTTTAGGAACAAATTCAGGATATATAATTGCTATAGCTGAAAATGATAAAGTTAATACAAAAGGAATTAATTTAAATATAGTAGGTACTCCAAATTCTGTATCAATTAATATTTCATGTAAAGGATGTATAAATATACTATTATCTACAAAAAAACCTGAACCTAAACCTATATATATATCTTTAGTTATAAATCCGAAGTATATTGAAAATATTGCTAATACAACTAAAGGTAAACTTATAAAAATATCACTTTCATGTGCATTTTTATAATAATTTATAGATCCATTAGGATTAGTTAAGAAAGTTAAATATAAAACTTTTACAGAATATAATGTAGTAAATATTGCACCTATAACGGCAATAACATAAACATTTATACTACTAAATTGATATTGACCATATGCAGATTCTAAAATAAAATCTTTACTATAGAATCCTGTCATAAATGGAAAGGCAACTAAACTAAGACTAGCTATTAATATAACTGTATATGTTAAAGGTAAGAATGTTCTTAATCCTCCGTATTTTCTTAAATCTTGGTTATCTACAACAGCATGAATAACTGCACCTGCCCCTAGGAATAATAAACCTTTATAGAAAGCATGGTTTATTAAATGGAATATAGCCACATTGTAAGAAGATAATCCTATAGCAATTACCATCATACCTAATTGAGACATAGTAGAATAAGCTATAATTTTTTTAATATCTTGTTGAAATAATCCAATTAATGAGCTAAATACCGTTGTTATAGCACCTAGTCATAAACAAATTAATAATACTGTTGAACTATATTCAATTAAAGGAGATGAACGAATTAATAAGTATACTCCAGCTGTAACCATTGTAGCTGCATGTATTAATGCGGATACTGGAGTAGGCAATTATGTTGGTTTTCATTATGTACTTTTATTGTACGTATACGATGAAAACACTCAATAACTCACGTTATTGTTCGGACTATATCTTCAATTAATTAATAAGTTTAGATAAAAATTTTATAATAATTTGACCTTCAGGAGTTAAATGTTTTTTATTTTTAACTAATTCATAAATTTTTAATCATCTTTTGTATGATATAAACTTTTTTGTTTTTAATGGGTAATTTTTTAAATATAATAAAACTATACTTAATTTACCAAAATTTACCACAGTATTGTAACCATTATAACTTTTAACATGAGTAATATAACCATTGATTTTTACAGCTAAATCTTTACTAAATTCTATGTCATCTTTTTGAGAAATAACATATCTTACCGTTGTTATAGATTGACCTGTTTTTTTTGATATTGACGTAGAAGAAGTAAAACAACCTTCAGCGTCCGTAAATCCAGATAATCATGCATTATTTAAAGTTAATTCATGTTTAGGATTTATACAACTTATATCTGTATTATATATTTTGTTAAAAGCATCAACTCACATTATAAATTGATTTAATTTATAATTAGTTACAATATTACCATTAAAAATTTGAATTAATTTATAAATATTTTTTTTATCTCTAACTCTAAAATGATGAGTTTTATTTATTTTATCTTGTACAGAAGCAGATCCAAATCCTAGTTCTTTCTTTATATAAAATAATATTTGAGCATCCACACTAGATTGTGTGATTTTAAATTCTAAATACCCATTTTTATTTATAATAAAGGATCCATCTCCTTCAGTAAAACCTATAAATCATCATTTAAACTTATTATTTATATTAATTGTTTCACATGTAGTCTCTGAGGAGCCTTTGTTGTTTTCTACAAAGTTTCCTGCGGATTGTCCCTCTTCTTGGATTTTGCCGAAGTCTATAAAATAAACAGAGGACCAAGAATTTAAAACGGGGTGTTCCCGCATATAGTGAAATTTAAGGAGAGCCCAGTTAAACCAACCCTCCATAGCCATAGGTAATCAAATATGAAGACCTACTTGAGAACTTTTCGCCATCGCTCCTATTAATAAACAAATTCCTATAATAGTCACAATATTTTCATTTATATAAGGAGCTAATGAAAATACAAGACTATAATCTAAATTACCTAAAGATCATAGTATAACAAACATACCTATTGTTAAGAAACAATCCCCCACTCTATTAGTTAAAAAGGCTGACATAGAACTTTGATTTGCTGCTATTCTAGTAAATCAAAAACTTACCAGTAAATAAGAACATACTCCTACACCTTCTCATCCTACAAACATTAATAAATAGTTATTACCTGTTACTAATATAATCATCATAAAAGTAAACAAACTTAAATAACTAAAAAATCTTTGGTTGTGCAATATAGTCAAATTTATCTTGCAATTGATTTATTGTGTTTAACAAAGGTTATTTATTTTAAAATTCTCTACCTGTATTCATACCAGATTTTATTTCTCTAATCGAAGCTATACCTTCAACTGTAAGATGTGAACGATTAACCATTAAACTATGAATTTTACATCAGTCAATATAATCGTGTAATTTTACACCTATAATAGAGTTATTGTTGAAAAAAGGAATTATTACATTTGTAATATTAGTAAAATCAACTGTTGAGTAACTAACTGCAGACTTTCCGCTATATTTGTAAACTTTTCCTGATCCAAAATATTCGGCTATTTTTTCCAATAATTTTATATCTCTACTATGTTGAGATATTCTGAATCTTAATTGTACTCTAGTACCTAATTTACTACTGGTTGAAGGCATACGGACATCAAAATTACCCTCGGTGCTAACAAAACCTGAAATTCAATCCGGGTCTAACAACACATTGTCATTATTAATTACAGGTCTTTTAACCTGAATATACTCAGGAAATTCTATTTTTAACGTATCAGATAAACCTAAATTCATTGATGCTTTTATATTTATTATTTGATTTAAACCTTCTAGAGTAAGATGGGCTTCATCATTCACAAGTTTTATTGCTTGTTTAAATAATAATAAATCTGCAGCTTTTTGAGTTAATAATGGATATTTATCGAAATGGTCCATAAGTTTATTTAAATCTTCAATAGAATCAATTGAATAATTAACCATTTCTCGATTTCGCGCTAAATGGATAGAACCTATACCACCTAAATATTGTTGTAATAATTGTAGTATGTTAAGATCTTTTTTGTGTAAACCTATTTGAAATTTTAATTGACTACGTCAACCCAATTTCCGGGTTTTATTTCTGTCTATTACTATACCGAATGAACCTTCACCGTCGATTAAACCTGATCATGTTCAAGGATTAATTAACCTTCTAGAATTAAAGGTAGAGAATTTTCTTATATCGAATTGTTTAGATGGGATTTTGACACAGAAGTTTCAACTATCTTGCTTGTTGAACCTGAGGTTTATACCTCTATTTCTTTCGAAACCTGACAGAGTACACCTTAAACCTATTAAATTTTTAATAGATCAATTGCCGTCTACTCGTTGCTCTTTTACAGTAATTCTTTCACCTATTACTGACTTAGATCCGCGATTGTCCATTTTGTTTTCACAAATCTTAAGACTTATTACCATACCTGAATGATTAGTTCAGCCACTTATAATTTTTCAACTATAGCTTGGTACCTTAAGCTTTAGGAGTTCCCCGGAGTTTGACAATTTATCCCCACAATTACGTTTTCCCTTAACGTAATACCAAGGATCATGACTCATATATCCAATAGAATAGAAATGTACTAATGAACTAATAATTAATACAGGTATTAGCATGGATACTGTTAAACTATCAAATTGGAAATTTCATAATATATTAAATGATTCACTATCTAATCATTTAAATAAATTAATTGAAACAGGATTATTATTAAATCCTACTTCAAAAAAGCTAATTATAGCTAAAATTGTTGTTGTTAGTACACATAAACAACCTAAAATACGGCTACCTGTTACACCAACTTTTCTACCGAAAAATCCTGATACTATGGATCCTAATAAAGGTAATATTATAATACTTAAATACATTATTTATATTCTATTGCAATACTTCCTCTTAATCTATAAAATGCCACTAATATAGCTAGACCTATTGCAGACTCTGCACCAGCTATTATTATTATATATACGGCATACGTTTGTCCTATTATATCATCCAAATTTATGGAACTTATTAATATTAAAAATGTTATAGATAATAACATTATTTCTATAGAAATAAGCATTAATATAATATTTTTTCTATTAAATACGAATCCTAAGATTCCAATTAAAAAAAGTACTAAAGTTAAACTCATTTTTTTTTATTTTTATTATCTCAAATTATTCAGATGACGATATATATATAATACTAATTTATTAAATTGATATATCGCCGTGAGTATAATTATACATGGACAATTATACCAAGGGCATTATAGACTCGAACTATAATTTCGATGTCCGTAGCATCTTGTTTTACCATTAAACTAATTCCCTTTATTAACTTCTCTACCAAAGTAGCTAATAGTTAAAGTTTGCGTAACAAAATACGCAGGCATTACTGCTGGCTGCTAATAGGCATAACTAGCCCTCCGAAGGAGTGTTAATTCGTAGTAAAACCACCACCGGATAATGCTAGTGTTATGCGTGGAAACCGCAACATAGTATAATTAAATTATATAACATAAAGTAATAATAAAGCCATCATTAAAGCAAATAAGGCTGTAGCCTCTGAGAAAGCAAACCCTAAAATAGAGTATGAAAATAATTGGGCTTTTAAAGAAGGATTTCTAGCTACCCCTATTATTAAACATCCAAAAACTACACCTATACCTACTCCTGCTCCAGCTAATCCAACTGTAGCAAGTCCTGCACCTATTACTTTTGAAGATTCTAATAACATACTATACTATATCAATGTCTAAATACCCGAACTTTCAATGCTGGTTTCGTTAGACCTCTACTATTCATAATATCAAAAAAAAATCTAATTTAGCACTTCTTAACCGTATGACTAGCCTAACACGATAAGAAGACAACTTAGCACTGCTTTATTACCTACATAGATAACGTTATTTATAATAAAACTAGTCTTATAGATACACAATACGTAGATGCTTTATTTACTTACTTTCGATAAAAGTATGAATAAATTTATTAGATTTATAGAAGTAATTATTAGATTGTCTACTATCAATTTTTAGTGCATTTTTACCTAATTCAAAAACAAATCCTGCTGTTACTATGGCTGTAAATATTAATACGATTAATAAACCATAAATACCATTTTCATAACCACTTAAACCAAAAGGATAAATAAGTAATATTTCTAAATCTAAGATTAAATAAACTAAAGCAAAAATAAAGAATTTAACACCAAATTGTGTTCTATTTTGGCCAAGAAAACTATGAAATCCACATTCAAATATACTATATTTTTCTTGATAAGGATTATGCGGAGCTAATAAAAAATTAAGAGCTAAAAATACTATAGTTAAAATAGATACAAATATAAATAAAAAAGTAACACTACTCATTTTAATAATTAAACAATATTTGAGCCAAAACGGCACCCATACTTAATCATTCTTTATTCATAAATAAAAATAATAATATAACTAATGTAATAGTAGAAATAACAAATGCAATAGGACTTGATAATACAATATTCTTGTAATTAAAACTTAATTTTGTGTCATTTGCATAAGCAGAGCCTACACCCACAACTGTTTTATTGTTAGCAAGATAACCTTTTAATGTTAAATTTTCTAATACAGTGTTAATTTTATAGTCTGGTTGGCTGAAAAACATTTCTTTAATTATACCTAAATAATAAATACCTCCCACAACACTAGTTAATATAGCAACTAAAGATAAGAATATTAAACCTTGATCTAAAGCAGCACTCAATACCATTTGTTTACCAAAGAATCCTACTAGAGGTGGTATACCTGCAAATGAAAATATAGTTATAGCAAAACTTAATGCTAATAATGGATTTATATAAAAATAACCTTTTAATTGACTTATTAATTGAATTGGTGAATTATTTTTATCTAATAATTCTTCATGTTCTTTATTTTCACTTGTATAACAATATAAAGAATATCCTATAGCTATTAAAATAAAGAATACATTTACATTACTAATTATATATTGTGTTAAATAAAATAAAAAGGCTTGAGTGGATTCAACGCTTGAAATTCCTAAAGCTAATAACATAAATCCTACATGAGAAATAGTCGAATAAGCTAATAATCTTTTTATTCTAAATTGAGTTAAACCTACAACTGTACCTATTACTAATGAAAATAGAGAACTCATTAATAAAAGGAATGTTCAATTCATTTCTCCATTAATTGGTGAACGTACCCCTACAAAAGTACTATTTGTATAATATACTAATTGTAATAATAATATAAAAATAGATATTTTAGCAACTATTGCTACGAAAGTTGTAACTACTGTAGGTATAGCATCGTATACGTCAGGAGATCAGAAATGAAAAGGAGCAGCACTCACTTTAAATAAAAATCCTATAGTAAATATTACTAAAGAAAGATTAATATAATAAGGTTTATATCATAGATCTACTGAATTTATATCACTTATACTAGTTATAATATATAAACTATCTAAACTAGTACTTCCTGAGTTAGCATATAATAAACCTGTTCCCAATAGTATGAAACATGAACTTAAACCTCCTAATAAAAAGTACATTAACCCTCCAGTAGTAGATAATTCTGAATTTCTATATATTGTACTTAATATATATAAACCGTAACTTTGCAATTCTATGGCTAAGAAAATAGACACCAAATCATTAGTTGACATTAAAAATATTGCACCTGTAACTATAAATAATATAATTAAAGGATATTCAGTTAACTTATATTGTTCTCCCATTTTGTTTATTATTTTTGTATTATAATAAACAAAATTATTAAATAATAAAGATTGTAAAGATGAATGTTGAGATATTCATACTTTTCTAGGGTAGAAACTAGTTAACACTAATATTAAAGCACTTACTAAATATACAAATATATGAAATATTAATGTAATATTATTTACTAATAATAAACCTCCATGTATACCAATACCTTTAGTAACAATATTTAATGAAGATATATCATTTAATATACAGTAAAATAAAATTAATATAGCTATTCTATTATATAGAATAGATATATCACGTCTAGCATTAACGGCGTTAGATAATAAGGTGGATAATACAGATATTAGTAACATTTTTTTTTATTTATTTTTCTTTTCTGTAAAGCAGGGATAGCATTATGCAAAGCATACTAGACTGGCTTCTATAGAATAAAGACATACCCTAGTACTAAGCACACAACCCTGCAAGCCTATAGGAGGATTCGAACCTTCGTTACATACGTATGAAATATGAGTTTTAACCGATTAAACTATAAAGGCTAATTATACTAAATATATATTTAGTATACTAATTTTGGTTGCGGTGGTTCCCACCCACGCCTTCTTAGTTTTAACTAACATAGGTATATTTATTTTCATAGCTACTATGAAATAAAGCAAGCGTAGCCCGGAGGGCTACTTCTTAGTAAAAACAAGAATTTTAATAATTATTTGTGCTTTACTAATCATAACACTGCCGTGCGATTGCACAAATTAAAGCTATTAATAAATATCCTTTAACGATTAACAGAATAGCTAAATAATTTATGACTAACCTGTCGTGTGTAATTACCACGATTATTGTATGCGTAGCGCAAGCGACTAAAATTATGTGCTTATTTCATAGAAAACATATATAAAAAAACGAACTAAACTTAATTACCTAGGGCGGTTATTGAGAATTGAACTCAAATTAACTATGCCACAAATAGTTGTTCTACCATTGAACTATAACCACCTTAATTTATTTATTTATGTAAGCAGCCGGCAAGTCTTTATTTTATGCGCATCCACTAAAGGCGATTTGAACGCCTATTGTGAACACCAGAAGTTCAAGATTTACCCATTATAGACATGAGTTCTATTTCCCGAGCCATGATTCGAACATGGACAGTAAATACCAAAAATTTAGGGCCTACCCATTAGCCAACTCGGAATGGTTATATCTACAGTATAAAATTACGGCGCAAGCTCTTAAATTTTAAGGCGCAAGCTCTTAAATTTAGTTAATTTAAGGATTTAATGTATCTATATAATATTGTACTTGTTTAATAAGCTCATTTTGAGACTATGTAGCAATAAATCATTCTATGTAAATCAAAACTTTCATATTCATACTTTAACATAGTAGGTGGCTACTATGAAATAGGCACAAAATAAGGATTTTTATATGTATTTAGGCTTATGAAATAACAAGCTAAAGATAGACATTAGTTGCTGCGCACAAAGCACGCATCTATTTTTCTTCTATTATTATAACTTATGTACAAAAAGAACCAATTTGTTCTATTAAATATTTATAGTTTATTCTTTATAATAAATCTAAACTTTAATATATTAGTATAATACTTACATAGAATTCTATGAGTTAATATATTTATAGATAAAGGGTGCTGGCTTCAATGAAATAAGCAGAACTTGCACATCTTTCGATAGTATAGCCTAAACATATCTATTTTTGTAAGCTACTTCCTAAGGAACCGCACATATTTATTATAGCTTGATTTATGCCCACGAAGTATGGATGCACAAAATAAATAATATTATATACAAATTATGGATGACGCGAATCGAACGCGCAAGGTTGTTTAATCCTACTGATTCTAAGTCAGCCCTATTTACCAATTCTAGAACATCCATTTAGGCAATTATTGCCGGATTCATTATATACTTTTTATGTAGCGCGTAGCGCAAGCTATGCTAGCAAGCGACAAATTTTTCTATATCATAATCTGAACTTGGATAGTATTTCATTCGCTATTATGAAATAAGCACTGAATTAAAACTTATTAAATTTTAACCAATCTCTTGCTGATTAAAAGTCATATGTAATTACGACTATTCCAAAGTTTCTTTATTATTTAATAATTTTGTTTATTATAATGGTATTTTAGAGTCAATAATTTATAAGTGCCGAATTATCACGAATTATATTATTAGTATAATTAATGTAAATGTTTAATGGTGCTTTAGAGTCTATATTATAACGATTAAAAATTGTTGAATTCTTAATTATATTATTATTATAATTAATGTAAATGTTTGATGGTATTTTATAGTCTATATTGTAATTATTTAGAATTGCTGAATTCTCAAATATATTGTAATTATTTAGAATTGTTGAATTCTCAAATATATTATAATTAGAATTATGGATTTTATAAGAGCTTGCTTGTGGAGCTACTACAAAAGGAGTGTCTTTTAAAAATAAAGATAGAAATCAATGTTTTTTATCGGCACGTACTGAGTTTGAAGTCAATACATCATAAGATTTAATATTATTAATAGATGTCTCATATAGGATATAATTATCCTTTATTATATCATTATTTATATTATCTTGCAGTGATATATATAAATAATAGAAACTAATAACATATACTAATAAAAAAAAAAATAAAAATAAATAATGTAATAGTAATTAGTTTGTTAAGTGGTATGTATGAAGTCTTATTAATATTATAATAAAAGTTTATCGATTTTATATGTAATTTATGTTGCTCCGTATGCAAGTTCTTAATAGAGTTAATTTTTAATTTTGAAACTTTTAAAAAATCATTTTTATTGTAAAAAGGAATATCTTTAAATATAGTTATATTATCATCGTTGGATGTAATAGAAAGGGTGATTCATACAACAGAATGTCTAAACTTTTGTGTGTTGCTCCGCATGCAAACTACTCAAAATTTATTAAGTAATGGAAGTATGTTATTATAATTAAAGTTATTATTTGGAGCTTGCGCCTCGTATTTAATGTATTTCATGTATTAAGTATAATGTGTCATAAATGTTTTTTAAACGAATTCCTCGTTGTTACACTTATAGTGATAACGGGAATAATCTGTGGGTGTTTATATAAATTTTGTGATGTATTATTTACCTGTATTATGGGTTAACCTAGGAGAAAAATATCGTTCTCTGGCTAATAAAAGAAACAAACTTAATGCTCTAATTTAAAACTTACTAGACTCGAACCAGTATTATATAGTATAGTCCTACCATATTGTACTACCTATTGTACTAAAGTTTCTTATGGGGGTACTTCGTCAGACTTAATACGCGGTAAAAGATAATCATGCACGTATTAAGTCTAGTAAATTTTATACGCTGACTTCTATAAAATAACCAATTTTGTATTTCTTTTCCTTTATTTTCTGTTTTTACTAAAAACTCAGAAGGAAGGTAAAGTACAGATAGAATTATTTAAAGAACCAATATTTAATAGTGCCCCCTATGTGTGCTCCATTCATACTTCTAGGCAAAAAACGCTCGCACGAAGTAAATAAAGCTACTACCCTCTATTCATTTTATAGAAAATACCTAGAGGTATATTCTAGAGTTAGTTAGTATGGGATATAACCATATCGTACCTTGGAGCCCTAGTTATATCGATATTATTTCATGTTTGATCACCAGTTAAAAATATACTTTGATTATTATATTCAGGTTTTAAACGAATAAATTCAAAAAATCTTTTTAATTGACTATCACTATTTAAAATATTATAAATAGTTGAAGTATTATTAAGAGTATGATGAGGGAAATCAACAATATAATTTTTGTCTAAAAAAGCTATATTATATAGCTTATAATTACCATTAATATTTACGTGCTTAAGAAATTCCATTCAATTATTTACTATATTTACTCCATAAATAACCACCTCAGCCTCATTCTCCTTTTTTTGACAAATTGTTACGAAAGCTTTTCGTTTTTCAGTTAATAGATGTTCTGTTCCCATTAAATTTTGACCTCTATTATTACCACTGAAATTAAAATCACCGATATTGAAAAGAACTTTATATAGACATCCTCCATTAATATGATGATCAGAATTATATATAGAACTATTTTCTTTCTTTGCCTTTGTTTCCCCTTTAAAATCTAAAGTATGAAACTCATCCAAACCCGAATTAATAATATATTTTAAGTCTAATGGACCCTTATTACCACCACCTAATTTTTCTAATAAAGGAATTAAATAATTATTCATAATATTGAAATGAATAACATTATTATTCTCTTGAATATTAGTAAACATACCTCCTTCGTTATTAAAAATGGAATCCATAAGTTCTCCTTCATCTTGAGGTCCATTATCCTTTCTTTCACGGATAGATTCAATATTAAGTTCAAGACTCGACATATCTAGTCTTATTGCATCTGTTCTAAAAACCGTAGTCAACCTTGGTATTTCTATCATATTTAAATGATTATTCATTAATCTACCTGGCATAAGAACAATACCACCATTATAGGTATACTCTCTTGGTATATCAACGTAATGTATCTCTTTACTCCATTTACTAAGATGTCATCTTTCGTAACTTTGTATATAATAGCTAGGAAAATATATATTATTTTTACTTATACTAAATTTCGTATCATTCGGACTGTTAAATAAACTTAATACATATATATTAGTTCTAGGAAAAGAACTAGAAATATTACCTAGAATTCACTTATTATCACGATCTACACGAATACTTTTTAATTTATATTCTAATCTTACATCTAGAGCCTCACCTAATAATCTCATTTGTTCTTCATAACAATGAACTACTCTTAAAATTTGAGAGTCAGCTCTCCTGATTTCTTGAAGAGCACTTCTATGTCACATATTTGCTATTCTTTGTGACGCTTCATATCGAATATCTTCAAATCCGGTCTTACTAACATTATACACCTTGTGTTGTTTAGCATCTATCTTGTCATATTTACCATTTCCAAATCTTCACCCGGTTGAATCTATTGCATCATCTAAACCGAGATGAGCTGTCGATAGACTCCCTCCTATTATTCCAATAATTGTCGCTGAATTTAATGGTATTGCTGATTTTAGTGTATGGTTCATATGGGGAGGGCTAGCTTTAGCTTTAGCTTGCGCAGCAACAGGAGAAAATATCACTATATTTTTTTTTATACTAAATAATAAAAATATTATTAATAATATTATAAAACAACACACAACAATCATAATATATAAATCTGGGAAATTTTGATTTATATATATTATAAATATTATGTATACACAATTATATATAGTTACATTATCTGTAACTTTTTTATTAAATAGAGAAAAATCTTCTACTGTGATATTTTCTTTAATTTCAGTTGCGGAGCTACTAGCACCGTCCTTATTTTTAATTTCTTTATCATTGATAAGGAAATGAGGCGAGGCACTATAAATCCAGCCCCTAAAAATTCAAAGTAAAGAATTTAATACTTTTCATAATATATTGCTTATATAAATAATTATTGTTATTGAAAGCAATACAGCCAATGTGTAACAAAAAATGTCATCTTTCTCTAATAAAAACAAGACCCCACTCCTTATTATATTTCTAAAAACAAAACTTAATAAAAGAAATATCAAGTAAAAAGTTAAAAATTTCTTACATTCTAATAATTTAATCATAAAACCGAGAATATTTCCTTTTTTATTAAAATGTTTGCTATAAAAATCTTTTAATAATGCATAAGAAAAAATAAAAGCTAAAATACTTAAAAACACAAATTTAATATTATTTAAAATAAATTTTGCTCCTAAGCTTAAAATAATGTAAAACATTACATTACCAATACATTCTAATAAACAGCCAAATCATCCGTATCCTGGATTTAAAATGGTAGTTATTAAATCTTTACATATATTTATCGATATATATATATAACTATAATCGAAATTTATATTAACATAATAACTTATAGAATAAACTATAATTCCTGTTAATATTATATGAATGATGTATTTAATGTATTCGTGCACAGCGACTGAAGATGTTTTCATGTTCATATTAAAAAAAAATATGTTTTAACTACTAATAGTAAATTTTTATCGAAATGGCAGCTTGACTATTAACTTTTCAAAAGTTAATAGTGCTTTAAAAGCACTACTAAATAAGACTTGCTGGATTCGAACCAACACTATAATGATTAAAAGTCATACGTACTACCAATTGTACCAAAGTCTCTTAATCCTATAGAATACAGAATAATATTCTTAGGTTATTTGAGGTTATTTTCTCAGTCAGAGCAAGATTCGAACTTACAATAAAAATAGCTTCAATATTACACTTTGCTATGAAATAAGCGCAAGCTATAGTTGAATATTTTATTGAGTAGCTCCTATGAAATTAAGTTCCGTTTTAAATTTTACAATTAAATAGGATAAACCTATGAAATTTGGCACGGCTAGCAATATTTAGTCAGGCATCTTCAGTCGCTGTGGACAAATATATTGTTTATAGTATTTCATACGCTACTATGAAATAAGCACGAATTTAGGCGAAGCACATTTTAATTATTGTGTAGCCGGAGGCTAGCGCAAGCTCTTCATGCTGACTTCGTAGCACAAAAGTTTTTATATAATTATATTTTTATAAGAAATGATATAGAATAACATAATTATGCCCAAGGTGAGATTCGAACTCACGGCCTAAACAACTTCAACGTTCCGCTCAACCTCTGAGCTTCTCGAGCTTGATATATATCACTAGTAAATCTAATTTCCTAATTTTTATTTTTTTTT